GTATTGGCGGACTAATACTACAGCTGGTGGACCGCCAAATGCAAGGGAAAACATGTTCAGGTCAGCTCGTAAGAAACTCGTTAATCGAGGGATTGCTCGTTAACCGAAGTTAAGAATCTTATGGAAGGTAACTCATTAACCGAAATCTCGTTAACCGAAGGACCACTGTATATAAGATTAATACTTTAAGCCTAAAACACCAAACCCTGGCTGGGAAGATTGGGGGGGGGGGGTGACAGTGACATGTTTGACAGTTGGGGCTTAGTGAAGTATTTATTTGTTTATATATGTCCTTTAGATTGAGTATGTTTTTTGCTTATAAAATGTCAAAGAAGTGACCAGGGAGAATATAATTTACATTGCTGGAATTCTTATAAGATAGTGATTAATTTGAATATAAACATGCTATAGTTTTCACTAGACCAAAATTTGAGTAATCATTTAGTACATTAATTTGAGTACATGTACAGTACAGCTTTGCCCTTAGGACAGTGTAGTGTGCCCAGAGAAACATTAGGAGCAAAATTTTAAATATGATGCGCCAGATTGACTCGCGCAAAATAAGAAAGGTTCGCTTTAAATTAAAACATTGTCCTTAATTGTGGGTGTTGCTTTAAATCAATAATTTTAAATTGAATTGCTTTATATTGACGTTCTACTGTAGTAGTTTAGCATACTGTGCAGGGCTTAACAGATTTTCTTCATTTTTGGCTTGGTGTATTATTTTCTGATTTATCTTTATAAGTATTTGGAGGAAAAAATGGTAAGGTAGATAAAAAATTAATGTACCCAATACGAAAGCGATAATAAAAAATATTACCGTAAATTGCGGCGTACAGTCAACCCTCACTTTACGCGGTTAATGTAACCCACAGGGTACCGCGGAAAGTGAGAAACACGTAAAATGAATAACATAACATATGGGATTAAATGAAATAGAGACCAGCTGACCCCCAAACTCCACTTTTTCCAACACAATACCTATGTTCTAGTAAAAATAACATCTTAATTTTATGATGGTACATGCACACAATTAATACTTAAGAGAAATAGAGAAATACAGTCGCCAAGTTAATGTCCATTCAAATAATGGACTCCACTCCCTCCCCCTCTTCTCACAGTACACTCACTGGCTCTTCCCTCTGAGAAATTTTGGGGGGAAAACCAGGTATAGTAATCAATAATACCTCAAACTAAAGTTAGGATAATATAATTGACATTGCTGGATTCCTTGTAAGACCAGGAATATTTTGAATATAAATGTCATATATTTTTCACAAAAGATAACATATTTACTCAGAGTAAACATTACATCTAAAATTTGTATGTCTAATGCAAAATCTATGATGTTTATATTCAAAATGATCATCAAATTGTAAGAATTCCAGCAATGTAAATTATATTCTGGCCGGGTAATTTGTATGAATTTTATGAGCTAAAACAAATATCTTCAGTTAATAAAAAAAAAATATTCTTCACGACACTATCTGTCAATCAAAGTACCCCACCTTGCCTCCCCCCCCTCTTCCAACGAGCCAGATGGTCAGTCCGTCCCAACCCTCCCCCCCACCTCCCACCAACCCTCCCTTCAAGAGAAAGAGTGGGTGAAAAAACTAGATTTTAACATTTAGTATTAAATAATACCTCAGATTAAAGTTAGGATAATATAATTGACATTGCTGGATTCCTTGTAAGACCAGGAATATTTTGAATATAAATGTCATATATTTTGCACAAAAGATAACATATTTACTCAGAGTAAACATTATATCTAAAAATTTTATGTCTAATGCAAAATATATGATGTTTATATTCAAAATGATCATCAAATTGTAACAATTCCAGCAATGTAAATTATATTCTGGCCGGGTAATTTGTATGAATTTTATGAGCTAAAATAAAAATCTTCAGTTAATAAAAAAAAAAATATTCTTCACACGGTAACAGATGGTCGGTCGCTGGTCCCTCCCTCCCCCCACCCCCACCCCCCACCACCCCCCACCAACGTCCCTACTAGATAAATGTGTGGGAATACCAGACTGTTTACCTTTTTAGTAATAAATAATAAATCAGACTAAAGTTAGGATAATATAATTGACATTGCTGGATTCCTTGTAAGACCAGGAATATTTTGAATATAAATGTCATATATTTTGCACAAAAGATAACATATTTACTCAGAGTAAACATTATATCTAAAATTTGTATGTCTAATGCAAAATCTATGATGTTTATATTCAAAATGATCATCAAATTGTAAGAATTCCAGCAATGTAAATTATATTCTGGCCGGATAATTTGTATGAATTTTATGAGCTAAATAAAATAATTATACTTCACCCGTGTAAAGGGGTACACCCACCGCGGAATGTGAGCATCCTGGGTTCTGGCAGGGCACCGCGTAAACGTGGAAACGCGGAATGTGGGACCGCGTAAAGTGAGGGTTGACTGTATAAGTCGACCTCAAGATTTTTAGTTCATAATTCAGGCTTAGACCTATACTCGCCGTATAAGTCAACCTCAAGATTTTTAGTTCAAAATTCAGACTTAGACCTATACTCGCCGTATAAGTCGACCCCCCAAGGCCCAAACATATGCTAGGCTAGAACTGAAATGTTCATACAAAAAGGGAAGTGGGCAACAGGATCTACTTAGGACAGCAAGCAACCGCTAAAAAGCTTCAGTACGTTATCTTCGTAAGAACTCTGGTAAACACCAAGCCAAAATCAGCACCTCCAATAAAATTTTAATTTTTTACACAGCATACCAGTATAGCACCTTGATAGTACCGCTATATACAGTACGATAGTATAACATTATGGTACACCTGGCTTACAATCCACCATATGTATCCGCTGGTGTAAACAAACTACCAGTGGCGCCACCAACACCACGCGGCCAGCTGCGAAACTATGGGTCCGTTACACTGTCAGCACACAGCGTAGACTTAGACTGTCATCCGCTGCAGCACTGTTGTTTGAAGAGTTTGCAAACGCAACAACTTTCAGCTTGAAACTTGAGTCATATTTCATCCTTTTTGCTGGGGGAGCCGTGGGTAAAAGATATTTTCAACTGTTGTCAGGTTGGTGTGTGGGTAATGAGTGGATGCCAGCAAGAGCATAAAGCCACGATGGTTTAGTAAATTGCCATGTAGGCTTGTTCAGTGTATTGGGGACACTGAACAAGCCTAAATAAGCCATTTAAGGACAATATTCGTTCTAATTGGAATAAATGGATGGTTGAGGGAGAAAAGTCATTCACGAAGGGTGATAATATGCGTGCTCCACCATTGGATGTGTTGTGCGAATTTGTAATAAAGTCTTGGGAAGCTGTTCGTGTAGAAACTATTGTAAAATCTTTCCAAAAATGTGGGATTTCAAATGCAAAGGATGGGTAAGAAGATGATTTGTTGTGGCGAGACAGTGACGAGAAGGAGGTTGACAGCAAACATAATGAAGACAAAGTCGGAAGTTCCAGTGATTCAGACCCATATGCAAACCTCTTTATGTTAGATGATGAACAACCAACAGACTTTGAAGGATTTTAAAATGTGATCATACATGCTTTTATTGTCAATAAATTATAACTTTGAAGTAAAATTAATCTTGAAGTTAAAGTTTTAACTTTTTACCTTAGAGTTAAGGTTTTAATTACGGTGTCATTGTGTGTATATTCAATTAACTGCCATTAGGTATCATTAAACTGTCATTACCCCTGTAGTGTATGTGAACTCACAATCTATAGTGCTATCATAAAATTGCGCAGATGGCACCCATAACGTAGTACTGGGTAGTTGTCTGGCTGGCCGCCTGGGTTTAGTGGCGTTCTGATCGATTGTTTACTGTCCATCAGCTGTTGAAAATGGCATGTGGTGTTGTGTTCATTTAATTATACTGGAATTTACTATTTTATTATAATCTCTGTTAAATTATACTGGAATTTACTATTATATTATAATCTCTATGTTAAATAAGTTTACCAAACATGAATTTCAGTCAGAAATACTTGCGTGAGGCCACGGGAGTTACACTAATTGATGCACAGCAAGTGTTAGGCAGGCTGTTCTACTTGTTTACCACTCTGTGGTAAAGCTTCACATTTTATACTCTTCGTATAAGTCGACCCCTGGTTTTGGAAAGATTTTTTCAACCTTAAAATGTCAACTTATCAAGCAACTTACGGTATATATTACTTTCAGAAAGAGTAAATTACTTATATTCCACATGAATTTCAACATAATTTAGCAAGAACTTTGTGAGAAGTAGGATTTTCAAAATTGATAAAAATATAAGAGAAAAATTAGGTATCAAGAATTAAGGATTAGGCAGAACCGATTCAGGGGTAGAGTAACAATGAACACCTCCTCCCCAACTTACGACCTACTCGATTCTGACCACCTCAGTCGTACCAAAATTTTGTCTAATTTATTGATATTGAGTCCCAACATCAGTACATAGAAAATTTTGTTTGTAATTTACTTTGAAATGGCTGGCAAGCTTAAAAGTGAGAGTTTTGTGGTGCTGAGAAGAAAAAGAGACACCCATTTTAGATTTTCTATGTAATATTTAAGCATTTTCGACTTACGACCTGGATTTGGGTCAATAACCCTGTTGTAAGTCGGGGAGCAGCTGTATCTGGTGTTCTTAATTGCTGACAGGAAATTGTTATTGATTGATCAATTATTAACAAATTCCGTGCTTCAGCCGGACGCTCCCCTTAAGGCATTCTAACTTTTTCCGGTTATGATGATGTAGGGTGACCAAGCAAGTGTTGATCCCCAGATTCTTAGAGTTCAGCAATTAGTGAGTTACTGTCCTCTTTGTTGGATACTAGTGCATCAGAGGATTGTTCCACCATCAGCACACTCCCAATAGTGTAATCATTTATTAACAAGTGTTAAAAGGGAAACTAGTCCTCCACACCGGTCCATGCTGTACTATTTAAACTGTGAAGCCACATTTAAATACTGTCTATATGTAATTTTTTTTTCTTTTCACCAGATGCTTCGGGCAATCAATGCACTGGATGGGGGTGAAAGCGCCTCTGGGCTTCCATCTGCTCTCCCAATAGACCCATTGACAGGTCGTATGCTGCTCATGCCATATTTTCCTGTGTTGGACCCATCTTGACAGTGGCAGCATCTCTATCTTTTAAGGACCCATTTATAATTCCATTGGCAAGTGCAGTTCTGTAGTATACTGTATAGTGTAGTGTTAGTAGCTTTCCACTGGAAACTTAACATTTCTTTCAGAAAAAATACAATAATAGAATATTCTGTGGAAATCCTACCATTAATTAAACCACTTAATTACCCTGTGCTACCATAAAGTCTTTTCTTGATCCATTACTACATATCATAATTTCCTAAGTTTATTCCTGTTACTCCTGTTACTACTTTTAGATCAACAGAACTCTGTACTGTACTATATTCTTATTCTATCTTAAAGGTGATTGAGTGTAGAAATATTTTGAAGAGGACATACTTTGTCAGTAACATTACTCTGTACTTAGGAGACTATCACACTTTTTTAGTTTTCCTCTAACCTCCAATTCTTTTTTGCTGTTCTTCAGCAGGTTTTCCAAATGTTGGACAACTCCCATACATTTGGATTTCCTCCAGCTAAGCTTGACGTGTGGCCAGGGTCATATGAAACTCTTTACTAACTCTTTATTTTAAATAAAACTGTTCATAATCTTTGCCTTTAAACCTGGTAAAATTTTAAGCAATAAGCACTATGGTGAATATTAACAGTTTAATTATTACAGTAAACCCTCGATAACTTGACACATATTTTGCTCTGGCCTTGCCGAGTTATCCCAAATTCTGACTTATCGAGGCACTTCCCCCCCTCTTACAAAATACAACAATAAAAAATTATCGACCCATATATGTGTACTTGTAATTACTAAATGTAAAAAAGTAACACTTACCAGAACTGCAGGCAAAGAATGAAGCATCATAGTAGGTGACACAGATGCATGGAGGTAACACAGAGGTATTATTGGACCAGAGGCATAGTAGGTGACACAAAGGTATGGTAAGTGACACAGAAGCATGGTAGGTGACACAGAAGCATGGTAGGTGACATAAAGGTATGGTAGGTGACACAAAGGTATGGTAGGTGACACAGAAGCATGGTGGAGTGACACAGAAGCATGGTGGGTGACACAAAGGGTATGGTGGGTGACACAGAAGCATGGTAGGTGACACAAAGGTGCATGTAGAGTGGCTACAGAAGCATGGTGGGTGACACAGAGAGCATGGTGGGTGACACAGAAGCGAGGTGGAAGCATGGTGGGTGACCTAGAATGTGGTGGGTGACACAGAAGCATGGTGGGTGAGCACAAAGGTATGGTGGGTGACACAGAGCATGGTGGGTGACACAGAGCATGAGTGGGTGACAAAGTATGGTGGGTGACACAGAAGCATGGTTGGGTGACACAGAGCATGGTGGGTGACACAGAGCATGGTGGGTGACACAGAAACATGGTGGGTGACACAGAAGCATGGTGGTGACACAGAGGATGGTGGGTGACACAGAAGCATGGTGGGTGACACAAAGGTATGTTGGTGAGCCTGGGAAGGCATGGTGGGTGACACAAGGTATGGTGGGTGACAGCAGCATGGTGGGTGACACAGAGCATGGTGGGTGTGACAAAAGGTATGGTGGGTGACACAGAGCATGGTGGGTGGCACACACAGGTATGGTGGGTGACACAGAGCATGGTGGTGACATGGTGGGTGACACAGAAGCATGGTGGGTGACACAGACATGGTGGGTGAGCACAGAAGCATAGTGGGTGACACAAGAAGCATGGTGGGTGACACTGAAGGAAGTATGGTGGGTGACACAGAAGTATGGTAGGTGACACAGAAGCATAGTGGGTGACACAAGGTGTGGTGATTGACACAGAGGCATGGTGGGTGACAAGGTATGGTGGATGGTGACACAGAAGCATGGTGGGTGACACAAGGATGGTTGTGACAGAACATGGTGACACAGAGCATAGTGTGGTGACACAGAGCAGTGGGTGACACAGAAGCATGGTGGGTGACTAAGGTGTGGGGTGTTGGAAACTGGTTGGGTGGCCTGGGTGTAGTGGGTGACACAGAAGCATGGTGGGTGACCTGGGAAGCTTGTGTGGGTGACACAGGAAGCATAGTGGGTGACACAAAGGTGTAGTGGATGACACAGAGGAGCATGGTGGGTGACACAAAGGTATGGTGGGTGAGCCTAGGAATTATGGTGGGTGACACAGGAAGCATGGGTGACACAAAGCATGTGGTGGGTGACACAGAGCATGTTGTGGGAGGGCTGTGCTGGAAGGCATGGTGGGTGACACCAGGCGTGGGTGACACAAGGTGTGGTGGGGTGACACAGAGCATGGTGGGTGGGAAGCATGGTGGGTGGCTACAAAGGTATGGTGGGTGACACCAGGGCATGGTGGGTGACACAGAAGCATGGTGGGTGACACAAGGTGGAGTGGGAAGCATGGTGGGTGACCCTGGGGTGTGGTGGGTGACCTGGACATGGTGGGTGACACTAGGGGACTATGGTGGGTGCAGGCATGGTGAATTGACCCGGGCATGGTGGGTGGGCACAGAAGCATGGTGGGTGACTGCATGGTAGCAATGTGGGTACACAGAGCATGGTGGGTGACACAGAAGCATGGTGGGCACAGAAGCATGGTAGGTGACACAGTTTGCTGAGACAGTGTAGAGGTGACACAGAAGCATGGTGGGTGACACAAGGTGTGGTGGGTCGACTATGGTGGGTGACAGAACTATGGTGGGTGACACAGAGAAGCAGCAATGAGTGGGAGCACAGAGCATGGTCAAAGTAAGCATGGGTGTGTGTGACACAGAGCATGGTGGGTGACCTTAGAAGCATAGTGGGTGACACAAGGTATGGTGGGTGAACACAGAGCATGGTGGGTGACACAGAAGCATGGTGGGTGACACAGAAGCATGGTGGTGACACAGAAGCATGGTGGGTGACAGCATGGTAGGTGATGGTGAAGCATGGTGAGGCACAGAAGCTGGTTGGGTGACACAAAGGCATGGTGGGTGACACAGGGCATGGTGTGAGACATAGTACAGAGCAGACCTAGTAGGTAGGAGAAGGTTACAGAATGGTGGGTGACATTGTAGGCTATGGTAGGTGATACAGAACATGGTAGGGTGACTAACAGAAATATGGTAGGTGACATTAGAAGCATGGTAGGTGACACATAGCTATGGTAGGTGACATGTACAGTAGTATGTAGGGTAGACATAATAGCTAGGTGACACAAAGGCATGGTAGGTGACATAAGAAGCATGGTGAGGTGACACAGCTACGGGTAGGCACATAGCTACAGTGGGTGACACAAAGGCATGGTAGGGACACAGATGCATGGTGGACACAAAGGCATGGTAGGTGACACAAAGGCAGGTGGACACAGAAGCATGGGTAGGTGACACAGTGCTATGGTAGGTGACACAGAAGCATGGTGGGTGACACAGGCTGGTGGGTGACACAGAGGCATGGTAGGGTGACACAGGGCATGGTAGGGACACAAAGGCATGGTAGGTGACACGAAGCTATGGTAGGTGACACAGAGCATGGTAGGTACACAAGAAGCTATGGTAGGTGACACAGAAGCATGGTAGGTGACACAGCTAACAGAGGTGACACAGAACATGGTAGGTGACAGAAGCTATGGTAGGTGACACGAAGCTATGGTGGGGTGACACAGGATGGTGAGGTGACACAAAGGTACAGTAGGTGACAGAGCATGGTAGGTGACACAAAGGTATGGTGAGGTGACACAGAAGTTTGTAGGTGACACAGAGCATGGTAGGTGACACAGAAGAATGGTAGGTGACACAAAGCATGGTAGGTGAATAGGGCTATGGTAGGTGTGACACAGATGCATGGTAGGTGACACAGCTTGAGAGGTGACATGTAGCTACGGTAGTACACAAATGTATGGTAGGTGACACAGAAGACAGTAGGGTGACACATACTGTAGGTGACAGAGGCATGGTGAGGTGACGGTAAGTAGCACAGTAGGGTGACACAGATGCATGGTATGATATAGCTAATGGTAGGGGCACACATAGCATGGTAGACACAAAGGCATGGTAGGTGACACAGGCATTGGTAGGGACACAGAGCCATTGGAGACACAGAACATGGTGAGGTGACAAGGCATGCAGTCACAAGGCATGGTAGGTGACACAAGATGTACGGTGACACAGAGTCATGGTAGGTGACACTAAAGCTATGGTAGGACACAAAGGCATGGTAGGTGACACAGAAGCATGGTAGGTGACACAGGCTATGGTAGGTGACACAGAGCATGGTAGGTGACACACAGGGCCATAGAGACACACGGGCTATGGTAGGTGACACAAAGGTATGGTAGGTGACACTGTAGCTACGGTAGGTAAGACACAGAAGCATGGTAGGTGACAATAGAAATAAGAAGTGGTAGGTGACACAGAAGCATGGTAGGTGACACAAAGGCATGGTAGGTGACACAGAGCTATGGTAGGTGACAGAGACAGTAGGTGACACAAAAGGCATGAGGCGTAACACAAGCATGGTAGCACACAGGCATGCAGGTGACACAGCTGGGCATGGTAGGGTGACACAAAGGCATGGTAGGTGACACTATAGCTAGTGAGGTGACACAGAAGCATGGTAGGTGACAATAGCTACTTGATAGGTGACACAGAGGCTATGGGAGGTGATTAATAAGAGCTATGGTAGGTGACAATAAATGGCATGGTAGGGTGACACAAGCTATGGTAGGTGATACAAAGGTGTGGTAGGTGACATAGTATGGTAGGTGACAGAAACATGGTAGGTGACTACAAAGGTATAGGAGACAGAAGCATGGTAGGTGACACAGGCATGGTAGGTGACACAGAGGCATGGTAGGTGACACAGAAGCATAGTAGGTGACACAAAGGTATGGTAAGTGACACAGAAGCATGGTAGGTGACACAAAGGTATGGTAGGTGACACAAAGGTATGGTAGGTGACACAGAAGCATGGTAGGTGACACAAAGGTATGGTAGGTGACACAGAAGCATAGTAGGTGACACAGGCTGGTAGGTGACACAGAGGCATGGTAGGTGACACAGAAGCATAGTAGGTGACACAAAGGTATGGTAAGTGACACAGA